TCTAAACAGGCTACATATCGGTGAACAGAGGGGTTCTGCACATTGTTTCAAGACTATTGGGCAAGCATTGTTACGGACTGGTGACTTTCAGGGCGTAAGCATTTTAGTTTCCTTAGTACTAAGTCAGGGGTAATATGGATATTCCCTAAGCCATCAGCTGGCACTGGGTTTGCGTAATACTGTGAACATTTGGATGCCTGGTTTAACTGATCGGTGAAGTTTTTGTTGAGGATCTCAAACATATCTAGGTTGGTAAGGTCTTCTCCATCCGGACCTTTGAAATAACACCAACACTGATTCGTAGGTTTTTTGTCATGAAACCAAACAGATGTTTCCGGTTTGTCTGTATTTTGACAGCTAGCTTCATCTGACATCATCTCCTGTCATTTCGAACTTTGCTATTGCATCTGTTTCTCAATGCCAAGTAAGAAATACGACCAGAATCCTTAAAGGAGACCTTCCACTTGTGCCAGGCTCTCCTCTGTAGCCTGTGGCAAGTGTTCAGTGCCGCGCTCAACCCATGTTCTTCTTTTTCCGGATGTGTGGTGTGACTGAAATACGTTGTCTAGATCTGTATTGTGGACGATGTCTCTCACTGTTTGCCAGTGATCACCTACTTTCAGCCTCCGCCATTCCCGTGACCATGTGGCACGTAAAAAGCTAAATATATTTGAAAAGCAAAAGTAAAATATTGCAAATCGGGGTGAAATATTGTCATGTGAACTGGCCTTCGCATCGAGTTAATAGTTGCGTTAGATTTGGCAGTTTCCCCAACGTAGTTTGACCTAGTTTTTATGCGTTCCTTGGTTGTCCGACAGAGATCGTTCTACAGGAAGGTATTAGGAAGAGAACTTCTGTTGAGAGCGCAGTTGGTTTGTGTCACGAGAGGTAGAATATTCATGACGTGACACTTCGATTGATTAGGGTTTTACCCGTTGTCCAATGCCTATTTTGATCAGCATTACTTACAACTTACTTTGTTGTAAATTACCTACTAACTGAGGGACATTATTATTATCCTATTATACTGATGTGACTCATAACTTTATTCTTTTGCATAAGACACGCTGTATTAGTCGGTGCGTTTGCTGATCTTATATGATAACTGTAATTTCCTTAATTATTGTACTAATCCAATTGTTTTTATGTTTAGAAACAGAAAAAGTTTAAAACCGAATTGGTCTTGTTTTGGCTATAGCTTTCCTACAGACTCCGTGTTCGCCAATATTACGTTCAAAGTCATAAAACTATATCTAGAGGACGATAACCTCAATCTACCCATGTTTGTGTGGCAGAAAATTTTTTTGCTAACGGATCCTTTCGATATAGCAGGATTTTACAAGTCAGTGATATTAATGCTACTTTTCCCTGTTAACCTCGTCAAAGATTACTGTTCGTAACCTTGCAATGGTTTTAACTTTCTACCAAGAAATCCTATTACAAGCAGATCTGGACAGTTTAACTGAAAAAGAGTTCGCTCATGACTTATTGAGCTACTGGGTTACAAAGAGAAATAGTAAATAAATTATCACTAAAGCATCAGATCACTGTGCCTCATTATTGTACTCTGTACATCAGCATTATTGCTAACAGTTTGGTTCTTCTGAATTTCCTCTATTCATACGATTAATGTCCCATTCGTTATCCTACAAGTGATTTGTCTTCATTAACCTACATAAATGCATGGAAATAGTTAGTGTTCTAATTTAAAAAAGTATCTGCTGAGTCATTTTTCGGTCCTAAACATGAATATTTTCTGTTCTGCTGCTCTCCCCTTTCTCTTTATTTCTCAGCACCTTATACCAATCCTTAAATATCAGTCTGGATGTTTGCCAAAGACTTGGTTGATTTACCCAGAAGCCTGTAAATTTATTGTCTGAAGAATATTAACCAGATCTTAGCACGTTTACATGATCAATTCTTGTTTTATTCAGACCAGGCTCTACCTTGCATTGTTTCGCAGTCAGCAGTTCGTCGTAACGCAACCGCTGTACCTCGCGCCAATTATTCGCATTGTACATTGCAGATTTTGGAAAATTATTTATAATTTTAGCTGGTTGCACGGTAGCTCTCCCAAGCGTACAAGAAATGATCAAACCTTTAAAATTGATGGAAACGAACAGTAAACTATACAATTTATCTAGGAGCCTCAGGTGTTAACACATCTGTAATCACATCACAAATCATCGGGTAGTCTATCGAACATCGTTATGGTCAAGGAAAGATAGAGCAGATTAATTAATTATGCTCTATTGGCTGGATCGTGAGACGGTGGTTTTTATTTCCCTATTGTAACCTTTCCGTACTAAAATATGCTATCTGCTAAGAGTAATTATCGTAGTCAGTCACAGAAGAAGTCACTTCTGGTAATTAGCGTGATAGCAAGATTGTGCATTTACTAGGAAGTGTGGTTTCTATGTCGTCTGAGTCTGAGCACGAAAAATGAATGTAAACTTCAGTTGCCTACATTGGTAATCTACAAGCTCGCCGGTTAAACCTTTAGACTGGTATAGGCGAAGACGTATACACTCTAAGACACATAGATACTGTGTAGAAATAAGCGTATTTATATTTAGATATTTTCACCCGCTTTATGGTTAAGTAAAAAATTCACGTATATAGAATCAGATTTTTGTACCTGTACTAATTATCACCATATTTCAGTTCCTGAACCTATCAAGTTATTAGTATTATGCTTGATATTAGGCCCTTCACCGATATACACAATTCAACCACAAGGACGATCCAAACAACAGCTACCTAACGACCTAGTATTAATGAACAAATTGTTGAACGAAAAGTACTCTTGAACCACATGAGCAAAACTGGAAGGGAAACGTTTGTAACGACAAAATTACTAGTAACTGGTCTGTAAATATAGCCATAGAATCAAGTTTTATTTAATTAAGCCAAAATACGTTTTGCAGTATAGCCTATAAAGCGTTTCAAATGACTGGTACTATATGATATCAAGATACGAATTCTGTGATTAATTTGAATGGCTGTAATCTAAGAAATAGAACAAATTATATCCAAGTTACAGAATACATCAAACAACACCGCCTGTGCTAGGCAGTCAAAGCTTTCTCACAAAAATAGTCAACAAATGAATTTTTGGCACTTGTTACTCATCAAGAGTTTTCACAAAAAGATGTGGTCAAATATCTACCAATAAAGATTGAGGAAACTTTAAGTCAGGCAGTTAAAGGTCAACTATCGTTTAAGGAACCATGACGTAATTTCAAGCTTAGTCAACTGCAACCTGAAAGTTAATAGCTTGACAACAAGGAACAGTAAAATTAAAACAATGATGGCAGACATGAATTAGTATCGAATAAAAACGACTGAGTAACATAAAACATGGTAACAAGTGTCTTGTGAGAAATCGAAGAATAGGCAAACGATTACACCCATGAACAAAGCCCTGGAAAACGCTCCAAGCTGAGGGAAATCACCTCCCTTGTGGGAACATACGACTGATCTTCCGAATACAGCTGGGGAGATTGGGTGAACTGCTGTTGCGACCATGGGGTGCTAAAGTAGTATTAGGTGTATATGACAAGACGCTTATGGTTTTTATAAGTTTAAGGGTATAAGGGTGTTAATTAATAAATTACTCTTACAGTCCGCTTTTTACTCACAAGGTGTAGGTTCATACGCGTCCCGCCCAGTCCAATTCCAAAAACGATAATTCTGGGAGAGAACGGTTCTATATTTCATTAAGAAAGGGAATTCAGACAATTACCAAAACAATATTACACCTTCTAGTTTCTAATTACCACAAAAGGTTCCGTAGTTGGAAGAATAAGTGCTTCCAGTCCGTTACTGCTGGAGTATCAAATCCAAATATGGCTGTAGCCATATTAAATATCAATTTTAAACAACATATGTATAATTCAGAAGGAAACATAAAAACTTTGATATAAGCACAAGATATAGAAATAATAATAAGATACAAATGATTAAATCTCAAAATGGAATCAAATAGAGTACCAAAATATCAGTCAGAAGAGTCAGTCATATCATAACACAAATATATATACATGGAGGGATTTTCCAAAAACAAAGCCTTCAAAATAGGTTCTACAAATGGTTTAAGGAGAATTCATGAACCCTAGAAAGTGAAAAGGTTAATATACATTAGCGAACTCACTCCTCTATAACAGTGCTGGTAAAACCCTTTTGTGAACAGTCAAAAAGTGAGTGAAAGCCATAATTTCAGTTTTTCAACTTTAATTTGCGGACAGACTTGAAGATATATTAGCGCTTTGAATTATGAATCTAGGCCACCTGAATCAGGTTTAAAATGCTTAGCTCCTACAAATAGTTGATGCAATTAAATTGACAGTAATACTTAGATGGATTAACGGCCAAATTTGTGTGAGAATGTAGGCAGTGCTTTCATGTCTAGCTCACAGGTCTCATCCCCATTGTCTTTTGACCTTGTCAGTCATTTGCCTATGTTTGCGTTGCTTTTATTCGTGTGTGTTCGCCATTGCACAAACGGGACTCGCCTAAGTATAATATGCGGGAACTGATGAAGAAATGTATTTGATAGCAAATTTAAATGTTCATAAATATTGGGTCGCGGCTCACCGAAGCAGTGAGTCCCAGATCGAACTGAATACTGCAAAAAGCAGAGCTTCTTATTATGTTTAGAAGACGTCCATGTTGCAACTCACTATAAATTGTAGTCATTCAACACCATTTACTTTTAGTAGCAAAAAGAGACTCTAACATTTAGCAATGATGACAATTTGAAAAGAATATTCATAAGACTGAAAATCACAAAAATAAAAACCGGACACTAGGCTTCACGTTTCTAACTTAGAAAACATTAAACAATGTCATTGTGAATTTTGGAATGCACTTTTTTGGTTACAAAAAAATAAATTCAAAGAAAAATAAGTCACTAGGCTCTTGATGATATTTCAGCCAAATTGTTTGTTTAAATGTTTAAATGAAATTTATACTGGTCGTAGATTTCATGTGCTATCTTGAAAATTTATTTTTCTGAGATATGCGTGGTGTCCTTGTTTTCATGTATTATTTGTCAGGTAATTTAGTTCGATAACACTTTCATAAACTGTTGTCAATTATTTCATATTTTTAAAATTAGACGTTAGTTCACTAAGATTTCTATGTTACTATCTACTACCAAAAAATACTATTTATATGAATGAACTTCAATCAAATCCATATTTGCATGTATAATATTTTATGCAATAACAACTTTCCCATTGTTTATGTTCGCAGTGTCAGCGGCAGTACTCACTTCTGCAGTTTTAACGACTTATTTACGTTTAATACAAAGCCAAGTATTTCTTTCGCGTCTGAAAGTTTTTGTAAACAGCGTTTGTCGCTTTCAACTTTTTCGGTTGAGTTATGTATTTACACTGCACCTCTTCATTTTAAAAACAACCAATTCATAATTCGTGAATTCTTGATTGCATAGTATTTATTATAAATTCATGTTTGAAAATCCCCTAGAATCCTGTTGACGTGTGGAGTAACTGCTATGTAGTTCTAAATGTTTTTTCTCTTCTTTTAATTCGTAGCAATCTAAAGTTTTCGTAGTTCCTAACTGGGTTCAACATGAGTATTACATCTATTTTTGTATTTTTAAACCTTACATGCAATTATTTACCAGGTTAATAATTTTGCTGTGTCATTCAACGGGTTTCCAACGCATTTTTCACGTGTCGTGAAATAATTGAGTGGAAATTGATGAAGTCAGTCATAGGCTACGCTGCACAAATGGTGAATTTATTGGTGTCTTCGTTGGCTAAGGTATTCGAAACACGCCTGACCTATGCTTTACGATCACTTAACCAGAGCTAGGTGATATAGGAACGGATTGAGAGAATGATAGGGATGATCATGCCAAACTGTGATGTCAGTCTATGAAGTCATTGTTTGTTTTGCTTAGCCGTGCAGTTAGATGCAAACTTTCTGTTTGAGGTACCCATTGTAAGTGGTTGGAAGTGGCTAAAATGCACTAGAAGTTGTCACGTAAACACAGGTACATTCATCCTACTTTCCTGTATTCCTGACTCACTCTTGTTTTGTGCATTCTATCTCAGTCTTCCTTGAGTCGTATTCTCACTATTCAATCGTCTGCTTGAAATAATTTTTATGATTTGTATACTAACATGTTAAATAGATGTTGGTGGCCTGTACCAGTTTTTTTAAAACTCTAACACCTATCACATATCAAGAATCATCAAAGGCAAACTGCGTGTAAATACCACATTTTTTTAGTAACATTTTATAAGAATGGTGAATCGACAGCCAAAGTTTGTTTTGTCGTTTAGGAAAAAGTGTGAAAACAAATTCAGTTCCCCTATCCAAGTTGAAGATACTGCATGACTCTTAGAGTAAAACTTGCTGGCAGTTCACAAACGCATTGATTACGAATCTGAATTTATTTAAATATGCATACTTGTATAGTATATTTAACTTATTGAATAGTATCGTTAAAAGTCTACCATAGTAAGTTAGATTTATCTACATTTTCTCAAAGTATTGAATACATTGTTCAGTATAATATTTGAGTTGAACAAAAAATACATGATAAAAAATATGCAGGACAGATAGTGAATCTAGGCCATTGAAATTAGATTTGCTATTTGTTTTTACATCTGACTAGGCTGAAAGATTCTCACCTTATGTACACAATCAGATCATCAGTCAGTCACTTCGTAGCAAAAACCTGTCAGTTTGTTTACTAGGTACGATGTAGTCATTGTCCTTCGTGTGCTGTTTTAATGTTAGCTGGTATTATCATTTATTACATTGTCGGTTTCATGAGTGTGCTGTTATTTTCTTTTTCATTCGACAGTTTTAACAAGCATTTCTTCAAATGTTAAATTTATACATGAACCCAAGGACTCCTGCATACCGTGGCGCGGTCAAAGTCAAATTATTTGTAAGGTTGATCACCCTAAAGCGACTTATTCTTGGCTAACAATACGTCATGCGCCTTTGGATTTAATTTTTTCAAATGGACGTCTTCATTTTCTAAAAGAAGCTAATGTATTATTTGAAAAATCCGAAGCAGTTGTTGAAAATTCTTCATTTGTGTAAGACGATTTATTTACTTTCTGTTTGTTACTATTTTAAAAATTTTTTGTTTTGATACATTTATACTTTGAAAAGTTTAAATTTATACTGAATTTTTCATCGATTTATTTCGATTTGTGATTAGTAATGGGTCCACCTTATGAACAATGTTCTTTTCAAATTGACAAACTGATTTGTGTGCGGAATGCTCTTTAGATTGATTACCAGTTAGAGGTTGAAGTATTTTTTACCTTAGTTTATTACTAATATAACGGTACTAGTAACCAATAAGGTACTTTCACCCACTAATCCCTAATCACGGTGAATTCTTGAATGATTTAATACTCATGATAAATGAAATAAACACCTTTTAGTTATGTCGCCCTCCAAATGTAAATTACAAAGAATTACAACAACACATTTTGAATAGTGTATATGAAAACGAAGCAATTTTATTTTCAGAAATAGAGAGTATTTTAAAGACAATAATGTGAACGTATCATAGTTTTTGTAAGCTAAATACTTGATGACGTATGGAATTTGCTAGTGGTGGATTTTATGTGCTGATACACTGTACACTTTCAATTTTATTACAGTCATACCTTTATTCAATTGAGTACGTTTTGTTCTAAATATACATGTTTACATTTTTATATTCAGAAATGTTAATGCTCTCGATGGTCATTTACTTCTCAAACATCCCACATCAGTCGATAAAATTAACCGGTCAAAATCATTGATACTAAACTATAAATCATGGCTTGAAGGTTCTTATCGATGTAAAGCTTCTATTCCCGGTGAAGGTAGTTTGGTTAGCCGTGCTGTAAATATACGTCTTTCTGGTAAGTTTAAATATTTCATTCCTATGTTCGCACCTATGTTATTGATTTACTGTTACATTAAGGGCTATATCGTGACGAAATCGTTATGCACAATTTTTCCTGTACATTTTTAAAAGTCATCTTATAATTGTTTAATTGTAGTATTATTTTGTTGACCAGATGTTGACAGTTTTTAGCATTCAACACACTCACAAGGCAATTATGAGTGGTCTACCCGTAATAGTATTAGTGATAGCAGGAGTGATTAAGTTTAGGCAGTATTATTTTAGGGAGAAGCCAATGTCAGGTAACTTTATAACTAAAGATCTAGGAAAAAGGTTAATACGTCTGTGCCATTGTAACCGTTTGTGGGCCATTTCATCGAATATCTACAAACTTCTGTTATAATTATCTCGTGAACTGGATCCAAGTATTCTGCATCTATCTAAAAAACTGTCAGCCAAACAACCACTGACTTCATGAATTGGCATTGCATTTTGGTTCAACTATCTCTTTCTTTGGACCTGCTCTGGCACCAGACAATATCACATGCCATTGTAAATGATGGTTAAACATACATAATACTTGTTCCAGACATTTCACTCGATGAATATTTGCAATTGTATCAATTAACTTGCGATCTTTACCTAGTAGTTGGGATTTAATTTCAAAATCGCTCACTTTGTAGTTCCACTATACGCGAGCACTGTTTAGTGTCCCTCAATCTGATTCCTCTTTGGACGAGCGACTAAATATGCTATAAAATAAATCTCCCCTTCAATTTTATATCATACTTAGGTGAACCCCGTTTGTGCAACAGCAGTGATAAGAAGCCAAATACAGATTCAGTTGGATGAATCTAATCTATGCAATCGTTCATGCAGACAGATATTAGGATAAAAAGCGTACAAGCAAAGTGTAGAAGGCGAGTGAGTCAACTCTATGTGATGAAGAATGACTCAGTATTTATAGTCAGGCATAAATAAGCTAAAGATATGTGAAGCGAAGTACACAGTGCACACACACACACACAAATAAAAACAGTCAAGGTTATAAGCGAATAATTGACATAATCGAAAGACGTGTGAAGAATGGATTGTTTTTCACTACAGGGTTGTGGATGCGCATCACTGAGAGTCCCATACTAGGACGAAACGACCGTCCAGTGCCTCCAGGTTTCTAATGGTAGTCTAAAAATGATCGATTCATGATTTCAAAGGATAAATTGGTTAATTTGTCCAAAGGCTGAGACAAGCCCTGTGGACTTGACATATCTGTACACACACAACAAATGCTCAAAACTTCTAGGTGTCGCACTGTCAGCATAATGTGATGGAAACTGGTACTGATGAGTTATGTACAACTATAGTGGTGTATTGTATATTCTTGTTGCTCATCTTTATGCGGTATAATTTGTTTGTCTTCCTGTACTACAGCTTAGAGTAATGTCATAGCATTTAGGATTTTCAACCGTGGGATTTTTGTTATTATTTATTATTTAAACACAACTATGGGTACGAAAAGGTACCTAAATATTTATGAACCACATAAATCTATGAATTAATATACTGTTCGGGTGTCCCAACCTAAGCAGGTGATTTTTTAGGAGGGACACTCCACGGTTCTTCGACACAGGTCTAGTTCAAAAAAAGTGGAGCAGCGTTAAGAGATTCACCCCCCCCCCATTATACCCAGTGATCAACGGTAGTTTCAAGCGGCATTCGTTCTTCATAATCCTGTAAGTCATATGCACTATCGACTTGGAATCAGGGTTTTCCAACTCACCTAATTGGATCTTTCGTACGCATCGACCGAAACATTTACTTTTCACCCTTTCGACTTCATAAAAGAAACACCCTTCGTACGAGAAAGCACTGAATGAAACTTTCTGGACAGTAACACACGCATCCATGCATGCGAATGTTTAGAGAAGGAGAACGGACTATGCTCCATCTTAGCCGTATCAAAACACCTGGTGTTTTTCTTTTCCTCATATACCACAGCTTAGAGTAAAGTTGAGTTACACAAGCCTAATTCTATTTGACTTATTTTGAACAGTTTAATACTATCAATAGCTTCTAAACAAAATGAAGTATTTTGCATATTTATTGTTTTGTTTTTTTTTCTTGTCATAGTTTGTCTGTTTCAATTTTTTATATTGTTTGATATTATAATGAATTCTTGTTAAATTTCTTTCTTTCCTCATTAGATCTCTTTTTTGAACCAAATCTACCAACAACTCATGGTCTTCTGTCTAATTCACATCAACCGTTAAACAATGAATTTCAACAGTATTCAACTTCTTCACTAGAGACTGACTTTAATAAACATCCTGGTCTTGGTGGAGGTAGTTTTTATCCAGGCGAAGTAGTTGTTCTTCGTTGTCCATTGATAACAATCAGTTCAGTTAAACCAATTATACGGTTAGTTGTTAATTTTTATGTATGACTTCGATGCCTAAATGATGTGGGTAGGGAACGGGCTGTAATCAGTCAGTCAGTCAGATGCAACGTAGAACTTCGTACGTAAGCACATCAGTTCATGTCGCCATACCACATCAGCATAGAGATGTAATTGTCAATTCAAATCCAATAGTAGAAGAGGTAGTAAAGGTATTAGGAGTAACCGGAGAGGTTAGGTTTAGATATTATTCAAGAAGTATGATTTAGTGAGATAAGTTTAGGAAGTTAAAACTAGAGGTGTTGAAGAACCCAGAAGATTAGGATTTGAGAGAACACAAAGAATTAATGCACCGGCGTCATTGCGAACGATTTTGAGCCATGTCATTCAATGTCTCTAACCATCGATTATTATCATCTCGCGGACCCCAACCAGGTAGTCGACAATTACCGACATGGCTCAGTCCACTAGTCAATGACTTCATGGATTTATGCCATGTTTTGATTTAGCCGCTCCTAACTTTCTTCCAACCTATTCCTACACTACAAAACAAAGCTCGTCGAGGCAGTCGGTGGTTGGGCCTACGCAACACATGTCCCAACCACCTCAACTGATGAAGTTTCACCACTTCATCTATTGATCTGCCATTCTTACCTAGCACCCGTTTCCTAATAACAGCGTTGCTCACTCGGGTGTCCCAGGATATACGAGCAATGCTTCGGGCTGTAAAAATAAGTGGTATTCATCACGGATTTATCTCATTTGAAATAGGTATCATTTAAAATCAGGATGTATTGAATAGTTGTCCCAAAGGCAATATAGGACGATCGGTCATTTACAAATCATGTAATTTGTTAGTTGAAACAGTCTTCTTTCTTTTTTCTCCTATATTATGTAACATTTTCATAAATGATTTGCTATTTGGTTAGACATTTTTTTTAGGGAAACAAATTATGTTAATATTTTTGTGATACGTTTTTTAAAAGAAATGACAATAATTTTCTACGATTAAGCTTGTTGAAGTTTTGTATAACTTAAATCTAAGTTCCATATTGAAATGACATCAACTGGATAGCTTTTGAAAAATTAAACATTGAACAGGTGTTTTGTTATAGTGTATGACCTTTCACAAAATGATCACTTAATGCCGCAAAATAACTAAAGTTGACTCTAAGAGAAAATTTTTAAAGTTCTAATGAAAACCTCTGACTAGTAGAGTTCAGTCATGTCGGCTGCGGGAAAAGTGCTTTCTGGAGACAATAGAAGTCACACCTGTGTACCATTGTACCAGGACTGAGTGGTTTGAAGGTTAAGCAGCATTCACTCATGACACCGCAGGTCCCGGGTCTGATCTGTGGTGGAGATGTCGTGCATAAGGACTGCTGAGGCGTTCCATACTCGGATGGAATGGCCGCCTATTACTGCCAGGTTTTTGACAATTGTCCAATTTAGATCGGTTCATGATTTCAATAAAAAAAAAGTTGCAAGCATTGGATTATAAAATAAATGATCTGAGAAAATATTACGTTCTCTTCGTGATAAGAATATTCTGGATTTGACTTTGTTTGTGATCTTGCATTTTCCCGATTAAAAAACAGAGTCTGTATGACAACCGATTAGTAAATAACCTGTATTAATCATCAACAGGAAATCAAAGTTGTGATTTGCATTAAATAGTGAGTGTAATGTCAACTTAATGTTTAAAATATCCTCTGTTTCAGACAAGTTTAATGTGTCACCATAACTCCATTCACACACAAACAATGTCAATTGAAAGCGGTGTGTGTACATAAAACATCAATGCTTGGGAAATGAGTTGCGTTAATTGAATAACAAATTTTCCATTTAAAAAAAAACAAACAATATTCTCAGTATTGCAATGTCTAGACTAGTGTTTTGTGTGTGTGTGTTTTTCTTTTAACATTTTCATATAATGGCAATAGAATGCATTTGGTCCTATTTCTATCAACTACATAAATCTTATTTGGATATAAATTAGATTTTTGTATACAAATTAGTGTATGTTGTTTTACTTAAAGCTCATAATCTAAAGTGCTTCTTATTTTCCAGTTTCTAGAATTGTAACGTAATATAGGATATATATATATATATATATATATGTTACACCTCACCTTACCCCACGGGTTTCTGTCTTCGGTGGTAAGGCTATTTAAGGAGCGGAGCTAGCGTGTTGTTGTGGTGTTGTGAATTGACTGAAGTTAGACGTGCACCGTTAGATTCCTGCTCAGTAGTAGTCCAAAGGTCGCGCTCGAGAAAGTTAAGGTCCTGGGTTGGATCCCTTGTAATTAGGTCGTAAATGGACACTGCCAAGGACAAAACAGTTGTCCATTGCTTACAGCTTTTAAATAAAATAGTCTAACTAAAATCAATTCATGATTTAAACTGTGAAAATTCTACAATTTCCATACCGTTTCCTTATATGCTAAAAATACATTCATATTCAATATTTTAATATTTCGATCATGTTAACAATTAATTATTTTACATTGAGATCGTTAATCAATCATTATTAGACTACCGTTTGAAACCTGAAAGCACTGGACGGCCTCTCCTTCCTAGTATGGGGCTCTACAGCAGTGTACATTCGTGACACCTGCTTGCGGGAATCCAACTTTGTGCTTCTAATGTTGGTTGACATTCACGATCTCAATAATGTAAAACAACAATCTCTATAACTCCATAAATGGAAAATTGATTCTTTCATGTAAATAAATGTCTTAGTGTCAACAACAACAACTTGTGAGAATACCATTTAAACAATGGGAAAGTATAGTATACATCCCATCATATATATATGTACAATTATTTAATCAAGAAAATAGTTGAAATTATTCGTGAAATGTGATTAAATATGAACTAATGTCATGTGTGTTCCCGTGTCTCTTTCTCTCTCACTCTGTGTCTGTTAAATGGGAGAGAGAGAGAGAGGGAGGAGGAGGAGAGAGGAATAACATTTATGTATGTTGATTAGTGATAATGAAGTCACTCTTCTCTGTTGTTGTGGTTAAAACACACACACAGTCAATATATATTTATCCATTAAATTTACATTACTTACTCTATCTGACAATTTTCATCGTGAAGTCTTGTTTACTAATGCGTTTTAATCTACGTCGTCTCTCATTCTCACCAGTTTCTTCTGCTTGTTTTCAATTATTAAAACTATGCATCTCTTTTTTTTTATATTTTCTGTTTTGTTGTTGCAAAAAGATTCATTTATAATCTTTGTCATCTTTATTATTTCCCACCCTCCATTACCTGTGGTTTCTTTCTCCTTAGGTAAGATAAATGAAATGCATGTATGTGTGCAAGTGTGTGTGTGTGTGTGCAAGACAGCGAGAGAGAAAAAGCATTCATGGTTTTTTCTATCAGCTGCTACTATCACCGACAGCAAGTTTGTGAGTGACACGTCAAGAAGCAGCAAAATAATGCAAGCCAAGAGCGATTGTCTAAGCGGGTGGTCTGTAAGGTGTGCTTGAGTGTGTGTGTGATTGCCTTAATTAACCATCTTACGGTATTTTAATCCTTATTCTTCTCATTATTTCACTTTTCTACCTTTTTCCGACGACAAAGCATTTCGATTGTGTTTCAATGTGGTCAGTGTGAATGTGTGTATGAAGACATGTGATCGTTGAAAATGAATTCTCATGTGCTAAAAATGTCTCAATCCCATGATACATCTTTCCTAATAGGATATTTAATTGACAATGTACTTTGACGCAATGATTATGCGACAAAGTACCGAAGAGTAACGAAACAATAATGGATCTAGAGTTTTACTTTATCTACTACGTTTCATAAAAGAACTACCGTCGAACTAGTTGCTCTAACAAGGAAAACTCAAAATATACTTCTGGATACCGTGAAGGCTTACCAACTAACTGCATCATGACGAATTCCCATTTAATAAAAGAGATTATGATTGAAAGTTGAGTGTGAAGCGTCTGCTCAATGGTTAACTCTCAGCCACTTTTGTAGGTTTGGTCCCCATACCACTACTCTCGGTGTAGGGAACTGAGCATGTTCACTAGACTTCATAATTTAAGTGTAACTCGAAGCAGGGTACACATACATTTATACGTGATAGGTTGGAATTCAAAAGTTTTATCGGTGTTGAAGCGCTAAGTTACTCACACACATTCTAAGATTAACTCTAAATTCATGCTAATCAGTTCTCTTATATTTGTTTTTCAATATTATTGAATGTGATATTTCAGTTGTCGAGTTTCAGCATATTCAGTATCAAAAGTTCTTCGAATATTCTACTGGACTGAATTTCGAAGCCATCTTCATCACAGAGTGTCATTAGAAACCGTGGAGTTCTAGACAGATCTTCCGTCCTAGTATGAGTACTAGATGAAGATGGCAAATCGGTTGATGAGGTTTTGAAACGTTATCAACTGAGTAGGTTGAGATATGTGTAACGCATACCCAACTACTGATTACTTTGACGAGCGATCTAGTCTGGTGTGTTAGGATAAGCCTGGAAACTTAAACTTGGCATCAGTCCATAGATTCATCGGCTGTGTAAGTGGGTACAAACTATCTGATTGCGATCTATGCGATTATTGAAACCAATGGTTAGCGATTTTGGATGACAAGGTTCAGGGTAGTGCGGATGCATATTGCTTTAGAATTGGAAACTTCTCCCTCAGACCTTAAAGTTGCTGCTTTTAGTCTCATCGTTTTCCAACCGATCTGTCTGGCATGGTAGGATCTAAAGCAACATATGTTCCAGCCAATATAGCCTGTTGGGTTATCACGGTAGGCAAGCCCGACCATCACGTCAGTGTAGCATCACGGATACAGAAGGCTCTATTGGCTTTTGTCAACTGGCATAGGCGAGATATCCGTCTGCTAACCAAAGGACGAGTCTTCTGCGCATCAGTCCGCTCCGTCCTACTATACAGGTCTGCAACATGGCTATTAAGGGTAGAGGATATTCGTAGGTTACTATTATTCGATTATTGGTGTCTTCGAAGCATTGTTTGTTTTTCCTGGG